TAGAGATGAAGAAAACATAATACCTCTTCAAAGTTTATGTAAGAATGGCAAATCTATAATCTTTAAAATCTAGATAAGATAATTCTCTTGATTAGATTTTTCTAAATCATAATTATCCTTGTGTTTAATTATTCATTCGAATATAATATTAACATACATCTGTCTTCAACAATAGTATGATCTACTTCTGATCCTATCATTTATGAATGATTTTAATTAAAAAATATATATTTAAACCGATTTTAAATAAGGCACTCAAGAAGTTTATTAAATTCAAAATGCTTAAGTCTCCTTTTTATTCTAGTTTGTAAGTATAATCTGTTCCAGTTCAAGCAGAAGGTTTTTAAATGTAAATTTCATAAAGAATTAATTAAAGGGCCCAATGATTATTAATAATGAAAATAATAGAATTCGAAAGAAGTGAATGATTTGAAACGCTTTTTTATTATTAAAATAAAGAAAATGAATTTTTTACAAGAAAAATAAATTTAAGAGCCTTAAGAAACTGTTTGTAAAACTCACAACCTGGAATTTCTAGCTGTTGACTTGAACATGTCTGATAAATCAGAAATTACATTCTTTTGTGGTAAATGTTTAGTGGATAAACTAAATAATAATAATGTTATAACTATTTAGCAATCAAAAGAAAGAATCAAACATGTCAAGACTTAATAACAAGAAATAAAAACTAAAGAAAATCAAATACGACTTAAGTATTTTTAAAATATCTTAGACAAAATAATGGACTTTAAACGATCTATTGATGATTCTCTAGAAAAAATGTATAAACAAATATAATAATATATATTTCCAATTTAAAAAGAGAAATCAGAATAACTTGAATTCTAATAGTAATTGAATTACTATTATCAGAATTATATTCATCAGATCAATAAAAATTAACTAAATTAATTGAAAATGATAATTTTATAGATAAAATAATGAGATAATTTGAATTATTATTTAATAATGCAGAATATTTTTAGTCTTTAGATACATTAAAGAACACAAAATAAACAATTCAAGATTTTTAGGAAAATAATGTTATTGAGTTACCACCATTATTGATCACCAAAACTGAATCAGTAATATAAAATCTTTCAATTATTAGAAAACACCAAGTTTAAATAAAATTTGCCCAAACCATAAAAAAGAAATTAAAATGATAGATATGGACTCATAGAATAAGAAAATTGAATATAGATTTGTATGTGTTGATTGTATAGCAGAGAATCCATCAATTAAATATCAAACAATCGAAAATGTGAATAAATAATGGAGATATTACAATTAAGAATCTGATAACATGTTATCAGAGTATAAAAAGGAAAAAAACGCTAAAAAGTGTGGTTTATTCAATTTAATTGCTGATATGAGAAAAAATTACAACAAAAAGTTGGATGAAATTAACGAGAAATTAATGGCGGAATAATACTCTTCAACCGAAAGAAGCAAAGAATCAAATCAAAGAAGAAACATTTCAATTTAAGCGTTAGAAGATGAATAATTACAAAAAGATTTAAAATAAATAATTAATAAAGAAAGGGTGACTTAAAATTAAACAATTAAAAGTTTGAAAAACAAAGATTCAATTTTTACAAAAGAAATTGAAAATCATTTACTATCGTTGAAATATTACGATTAATAAATTATCTAATAATCATTAGATATACTAAAAGAAATATCAAGTATTAATTTATACATCTTACATTAGTTGAAAGAAATCTCATCTGTTAATTATCAGAATTTATTTCATAATTTTCTAAATATGCAGAAAAAAAAGA